CTGAGATCTCTGTGCCGGTAGAACTAACCAATCATCTTGTTGTGTTAATACTCAACCTTAAAAACAGTAAAACTAGCACAAAATGCAATCATTTTTGCAAAGCGGGAGCATCTCACAGTTCTATGATTCACAAATGGACAACCCGCAGCAATTTTCACACCTTAAAAAAAAAGAAAAAAACAAAACAAAACACTTTCGTAAACATAGTTAATGTTTGCAAAGAAAAGGTAAAAAAGGTATAAACTCAAATCCATGTCCTCTCTTAAACCTGACACTTTTCGCTTAAGCAACAACTGAAAATTAAATTTAAAAGCATAATTTAAAATATATAAAGTCTAAAAATATTAAGCCAGCACTGACTTTTTGTTTTGACCCAGACCCAAATGCCAGTCTCCCGTGTTAAAAAGGGTCCATTCATCCACCGCAGCCTGCTCCTTACACTGCTTCTCTTTATATCAGCTCACCTGACTTCTGAAGGCAAAACTTCAGAAGAACGCCCCCCACCCCACAAACATCAACCATGTGTTAGAAAGCTTTTTCAGGTTTTCCTTTTGGTAAAAAGCCTCGAAGATAATCATCTGTAACATGTTAAAAAAATAAATAAATAAAAGGGTTGTGTCATCTGTGGATACAAAATATTGCATTACACACCCACAATTACCACTTGTGACACTAGTTTTAACGTTTTTAAGGTTATGACATCTCAACTATGTGGCTGGTATGATATGTAGCGCTGATCCTGGAACAATATTAATCATCCAGTTGCAGGAACAACACAAACATGGGGAAATCCAGTATGTCATACTGGCACCATGAGAACTAAGCCTTACATTTAGGTTTACGGTTAAGGGTAAGTCCAAAAAAAAAAAGAGTCTAACTTCTAACTTTGTCTAACTGACAAATGGCTTCATTCATGTTGCTTGGACAAAGCTTGTTCAACCACCTTTCAAGCAGGAAAAAAATGATTCATGTAGCCAACAACTGCAGGTGCCCTCTCATCAAAACAGCAACTTCATGATTGCCTGCATGTTACACATCTAGAGGAAATATACTTGTAGCTAGAAGTATTAAAACAAGGCTTACACTCTTCCCAAACAGGCAACAATACAACGAAATAAAAGCCTTATTCAGATGCTTCTACATAGCTGCAAGCGCACTATTCTTTCTGCATACATGAACAGAATGGCCCAAATCTAACAATGGAAAACTAGTCCTGACTGAAGTTTGAATACTCCTGTCATAGGAATTACTCACCTGGTAAATCTCCAGAACCAGACATGGTTGGAGTAAAGATGAGGAACAAGTTAGACCAGAATAGGACCTAAAAAAGAAGAAAGGAGATTCAACATGTGTTTTTTCCATAAATATTTACCCCCCTCTGATTAAAACCGCAACTCATAAACAAAGAGTAGAACAGTGGTTGACAGGCTCCTACCTTCCCGTTTTGCTGCACTGGTGTAAACTAGGTGGTTTGGTGGGTTTTGTTATGATGGTTGGTGAGACACACAGAAACGCCTCTGGCAATGCATTGTGGGAGAGCAGCAAGGCCAGCAGAGCAACTACAGAGACACCAGAGTTCAAAAGGTCAGCTGTGAGAAATTTCAGTTTGAAGGCAAACCCTTGTTACACTAAATTAAGAGGTTGAACATCCTTCGTCGAATACGACAACAATACTTTATGAAACTGTAATGTTGTAAAAAATGTATTTTAAGGCATGAAAGAGCGCAAAACCAACTATAATCTCAAAGTGAAAGAGAAACATCTAGTGCTACCGAGAAAGATAGTGAAATGAATGAGCACAGACCATTATCCTGTTCTGTAACACTGACATAGCCACCGCTTGCCTGCAGGATCATTCCAGAGGATGATTGCAGACAGGCTGCATTACATAATCCCTGCTGCAGCAGCAAGGTGCATGCAACACCGGTAATGACCACTTCAAAATAAAAGCTTAGATTTCAATCAGGCACACGCTGAAGGTTTCCTTAAACACATATTTCCTACCACATGGAACAAAAACATGCACGCCATACCCTCCAACACTGTAAACACGACGGCTGGGAGGATGCAGAGGTGACTGACTGCTGATCTTGGAAATAAACAAACTGCGACCTCTTCCGGGACAATTTCTCAAACTATCATGCAGAAATTTATCTGTCTGAGAATTTCAATCACAGGGTGAATTAAAAGAAGCTTAAAGCAGATATATGGAGAAATCGTCACAGGGTTAGCCGTAATAAAGGCCACTGCCCCTGCACACGCAGAACTCCACTGAGGAAATTCGTATTTTATAGCCCCATGTTATAAAGGTAACCGCCCCATGCCTGTACAATTGCTTTTGGGATAACATATCATCATGATTTTAAATTCAGAAACTAATGAGCCAATAGCATGCCATGAGATTCCTGCACGCCGATAATGTGCAGGTCAAAGAGAATAGATAGGTCTATAACAATTTAGCACAGCTTCACTAAAACTGGTGCAGTTTGGCACGTTTTGAACCTTCCCGAATTTGAGAGTGGTTGTTACATATTCACAAAAAGCCTAGCACTGAGTTTTTCACGTTTACAAAACAAACCAAAACCTGCCGCATAGTTCAGTTATTTATTTTCTGAGTGGAGTCTGGCGGAACGAGATAGCGGAACCAGTCTGAGCTGGACAAAAAGACACAAAACAGCTGACGACTGACGGTATTTTAAAACGATTTTATCAGCAAAGTTAGCATTGCTTTGTTTGCCTTTTCTTACCGGAGGTAATGACGGCTTCAAAGTGACGATTGAAATATGGATGACCCTCCAATGTCGACCAGCGCGCGAAGAGAACAACAGACTTGTTGGGTAGCAGCCATTATTGGGTTCGATAAATAACAGCCGCTTCCTTGACGGTTCCCTTTGCTTGTTCTCGCGCATTCTCATCTCATCGCGAGAATTGGCCATCACACGTGTGCCTTTCCGTACTTGAGAGGACACTGTCACAGTCATTGGGTGTAACGCAGTACCTGTAACAGTACCGGTAACTACAAATAAAAACAATTTCTACTTCAAAAAACTTTTTTTTCTTTGTTATGTTTTATTAAAATAACCTCTTATATTTTGGAGATTAAATATGCAATAAAAATCCTAATAATAATAATTATCTCAGAAAAGTGTTGCCTGCCCACCATAAAGGGAATTTAAACATACAACAACAACAACAACAAAACATATTATTATTATTGTATTATTAATATCGAATTTATTATTAATATTATTATTATTATTATTAATAATAATATTTTTAATTAATAATTATTAATTAATAATAACAATAATAATAATAATAATAATAATAATAATAACATTTATTCAAATAAATATCTTGAAGTTGCACAGTAAATATAACTTACAGGATATATTACACCAAAAAAAAAAAAAAGCCCAAAAGCTACATCTCAGACTCTTCAGGTTTCGGTTAGCATGCTAAATGTTCATGAGAGGGGAATTAGAAAAATACTAATCAAGTATGGTTTGTTTGGGAAGGTTTCAAGGAGAAATCCTCTTCTTTCTCTCAAACTACAACAAAAACAACAACAACAACATGGCAGCACAACTTAGGTTTCCAAAGTTACATGTGAGCAAACCACAAGGCTTGTGTGACCAGACCAAAGTGGAGATGATTGGCTACTGTCTTAATTCAGTAAGCCAGCAAAAACAAAAATAAAATAAGGGCAAACATTATGAAATAAATAGTATTGTTAAACAGAAAGGAGACAAGAGGAGAGGAAGTGAAGAAGAGAGTGTGTGGAGAGTGATGATTTGTGACAGACAGCAGCAACAGTGAAAAAAAAGGTTTACAACATGGTAGTGAGAATTGCTATGATGGATGGTTTGGAAATGGTTTTTACACTTTGAAGAAGACAGGAAGTCGAGCTGGAGGTTGCAGCGGTGAAGATGTTAGAATTTTCATTGGAAGTAACCTGAAGGGGGAAGGTGGATACATCAGAGGGACAGCCCAGGGAGAGCAGTTTGGTGACAAAAGATAGAGAGGCAAGCCTGAGCTGGTTTGGACATGTGCAGAGGTGGAACAGAGGAAACACTGGATGTAGGATGCTGAATGTTGGATGTAGTGAAGGAGGACACGCAGAAGGTTGGTGTGGCACAGGAGGATGCTAGGGATAGGGCGGGATAACCTGATGATCAGCTGTGGCAACCCAGTATTACAGGAAAGAGTGCAACAGCATGGTTCAAGATAATGCATCTTATTAAAGAGTTATATTATTAAATTGTTTAACCAGCATTTAAATGCTAGAAGCAAAGAAATATCTGTTATTTTGAGTAAAGGCAAGAGAAATAATGCTACAAAGATTAATTTGCAGAGTTATTATTATTTTTATTTTATCAAGTCTCCTTTTGTATAAATTTAAAAAGAAAGTAAAGTTACACTTTTCAAATATGTGATTATGTAAATGTTAATAAAAACACAGGTAATGAGTAAAAAATTGTTACAAAACGAATAATACTGCAAACACTTCTACACTCTGCCTTTGGTCAAATATAATTTTACAGCCGTGCTGAACATTTTATGCAACCAATTTCACATAAACAAAAACTAAGCAACATCTTATTGTCATGAGTTTATATATACTCACTGATTTACTAAAACTTGTGCTTACATTTGAACTTACATTATGTGTAATTGTTTTAGTTGTTCAGTGTTTGTCTGTAACATAAGTGAGTGTTTGTCTCCGCCTAGCGGCTGACTTGCATCATTTTAATGTCAAACTTCACTGGCTACCTGCATTTTCTTCAGGTACAGCCTAAATAAAGTCCAACCTGACATACAACACATTGATGAAAGGAGAACACCTCTTCAGCATTTAGCACAGGTGTACAGGTAAAGTGTTTGGCGGTGTTGGAGGAGCATGCAGCACACATTCCCCGCACAGCCAAGATCAGGGCGTGGTGGTAACTCGTTTATTACAGGTTACAAACTATGTGGCCATTGAGACGAAGCGCAGTCAGTTTGAACTTTGTAGGTCGTGAGCAGCGTTTTCGCCCTGCGCCCTCCCACTTTGTGGCGCGCACACCAGGATTTGCATACAGAGGAGTAGAGCGCCCGCCTCCCTCAAGAGTTTGGTTTTCCTTTCCAAGCAGTACGTTTCTGACCAGACTTTGCTCGGCAGAGGTGGAAGTTAAACTCGGGTGGATCGACTCCTCCGCCCAGCCAGCGCTGACAGACCTGCTCTGTTTTATCCCGCTGTGCGTTTTCCCCACTTCAGCTGTCGCTCCGTCGGTTTTGTGACGTTCTGGGCCGATCCATCAAGATGTCTCAGATGAACAAGAAAACGATCACGACGACGACCAGCTTCAGGAATCTACAGGCCTCTCCGGAGCCGATGGTGACAAGGCTTGTCTCCCCCAGCCCTGTGTTCTCCGGGAGCTCCGTGTCGTCGGTGACACCGATGTCTCAGGTGTCCGCGGTGCCGTACGCGGTAAACGGCGCCAGCTATGGGTCGTTGCGGTACCTGGTCCCTGTGCAGCAGCAGCAGCAGCAGTCCTTCGTCCTGATGCAGCAGCCTATGATGCAGCAGCCTGTGATGCAGCAGGTGGTGTCCCCGATGTACCTGCAGAATATGCAACAGCTGAGCATCAGCAACCAAAACGACTACATGTACCAGGATCTCAGCATGACAGAGGTGAGGCCATGCGCGCATTCAACCAGTATTCCCCCCACAACTCTTATTATTTAGTCAGTTCAAAAGTCTAAGAAATACTGGGAGGCAAACCAAAAAAGGAATATGGTTTACTGACAGCAACTAAGAATGAAGATTTCTTAAGATATGTTATTTGCAATACCCACAATAATCACCCACATTAAACTCTTCTTTGTTGGTGTGGTGCAAAACACCACAGAGAGTTTCCAAAACATGAGATCCTTGCAGAAGCTTCATTAGAAATCAGATATCTACAGGCAGCACTTTCAGGGATTTCTTTTTAATATAAAAATTACTTTTTTCCACCACTGCTTTTATATTACTTGTGTTTGTTTTCCATGTGTGTTTGAAATTAATCATCTGACATTTTAATGACCACTAAATAACTATCATTATTGGTTAACACAACAAAACACACCTTTCAACTTTTCATGTATTTTGAAATGTATTTTCTTTGGATGCCTGGAATGTAAATGTGTCTCTAAAGCACATTCGGTTATCTTCTGTTATTTACATTAGATATAAATAAACTAGACATTTTTCATACTGTTATACTGTTATACTGTTATATGTTTGCATTTCCCCCAAAATAATTTATTTAACACAGTACAGTGGGCTACGTACTGACTGGTTTCACTCACTAAAACTAAGCGTTTTACACATTAGAGATAAAAACACAAGCATAAAATGCTAAATATGAGTATCAGTACAGATTTGGTGGTTTTGATGCAATCTACTAGATCTTGTGTTGGTATAAATCAGTTCTGCTCACACATGGCTGTTAAGCATCTTTAGATGGGTGATTGGTTTAAGTTGCAGTCAGCTATCAGAGCAGGGAGGCTGCTGTGTGCAGATAGTATGGGTCAGCCATCAGGAAAGCATTAGCCATGTAAGCATGTTCCTAATATGGCATCAGCTTCTCATTTCTCTCACTGTGCTGTAAATTTTCTCAAGGCTGAGGTGATGTTTGTGCAGTTGAAGACACTTTTTCTGATTTGCTGGCATGAAGGAGGAATTTATATTTTTACTATGTAAATATAAAATTGAGCCTTTCCCATTTAATACGGACGATCGTGGCTCAAAGAGTTGGCAGTTTGTCTTGTAACCAGAAGGTTGTGGGTTCGAGCCCCGGCTCGGACAGTCTCGGTCACCTATCACCTACTGGTGATGGCCAGAGGGGTCGATGGGGCGATATGGCAGCCTCTGTCAGTCTGCCCCAGGGCAGCTGTGGCTACAACTGTAGTTTGCCTCCACCAGTGTGAGAGTGAATGAATAGTGGAATTGTAAAGCGCCTCGAGGGCCCCGAAAAGCGCTATATAAATGCAATCCATTATACTGCATATTAGGGATGGGAATTCTGGATCTTTCGGCTTGGCTCACTAAAAAGAGCCGGCTCTAAGGGCCGTTTCGTTCGCGACCGACACATCACTACTGCATATGCTATTTTTTTAAGTGGGGTTTAGCAGAGTGAAAATCTGTCATGTGTATCGCTTCATTAGATTAAAAACAATATGCAGAGTAAAGTAAATATCCAGAATAATGCCAGAAATCATTTAGTTGAAAATTCTTTAACATTATTTTATGTCTTTAAAGAAATGCATGAGTGCATAAATACTTACTTGTATTACAGCAAGAACTTCTGTTCATTATATACAAACCCAGAGAGCACAACCAATCGCTCACATTGAAGCTACACATGGAGGTCGTCGTACCGTGTCTGCAAAACATCTTCTAGAAGGGGGCTAGTAGACTTGTTGAATAACTGTTAGTAGTTGAGGTGGGGGTCTTTTCTTTAGATTTAGATACTCTGATTACAGTATTTAGTTTCCTTAACTGATTACCCAGTAAATTATTGCCGTGCTGAAAAGGCAGATAATGTATGACCCAGATGTTCAGGCTTCAGGCTCCTATTAATGCTCAGGTAAAGGCACTTTTTTCTGCTCTTAGCTCTTTATGAGGTCAGTTAGAAAGGAAAATAGTCATCTCAGGCACATGACTCTGGCTGTGAGAACAGCAGCACCATCCACTTGTAGTTAAAATCATCAGTTTGTAAGGTGAAGCCAATTAGAAGAAGTCACGGGCTAACTGATGAATAATTTTAATGGTGAAGTCTACAAAGCTACTATAGTAGAGGTAAGAATAAAGTGCTTTAAATGACTTGAAATATCTCCCCACATTTATTCAAGGATTAAGGAACTTTTGCCAGCTCGGCCCATTGCCAGTAAAACAAACAGCCTAGAGCTCGGTCGCTGGCAAAATACGATATGGCATCATTAGCAGTATGTCCTCATGATCACTACCAAGTGTGCTCTAGGTCTCTTGAGTTTTGCCACCTGAGTACACTCAGCCTGAGCTCCGATTTCTCTGAATCTTAATCTTCCTTGATCATTTGTTGATTTACGAGACACCGGTGTGGTCCTCCAATTCCCAAAGTCTTGCCAGCGAACATTTCCCTGCTCCAGTAATTGCTTCCTGAATATGTTGGCCTCTGTGCCTGCAATGGTTTACACAAGGTTTCTGCTGCAGGCTGAAAACATTTGAATTATATCAGCTTTCTACATTTTTATCTGCCTCTTTAATGATGATTTTATTTCATATATCTAGCGTCGAGTGCAGCAGAATTGAAAAACTTCCTTTGCGTCTTTTTTTACTTTGGCTACTTACAATTTCAGGCTCATTCTGCTGCTTAAGCCACTGCATTGAAAGCTAAGTGCTCACACCGTGTGTGATAAAGAAGTGCTGCCACACCCCGTCTGACTGCTGAGGCGGCACGCCCTGACTTTTGAAGACTCATTTATTGTTCCACCTGATGGGATCTACATCTGCTCAAGTAGACTCTGGTGATCGAGTGTTTAACTTCGTCTTTAGTTTTTTTAATTATTGAAGGAGCTGAAGCTGATTTGTTGTGCCAGTAACTTACAGGACTTTCACTTTAGAAAAAGCTGCCATGCTCTATAGTTAGCTCTTAATGACTGGAGGCTGTGCATGTAGTATAGTAATGTAGTAGTACTACATGCTGTATTTGACCGTTTATCATTTTTAGGTTACTCTTGGCACTCGTTTGCATTGTTTATAGTTCAAGTAATCATCAAAGGTGTTTGTTAACCCTTTATTGACCAAGATTCATAAAGGCCTCAAATACCTATTTTTTTTATCTTGGCTATAAAATTGTAAAAAGATTAAAATCTCATCATTCAGGAAAGTAAGGGAATAGAAGCAGACATGGTAAATCTAGGCAGAGGGGATTCGTTCTGTGTTCAGACAACAATACCTTCTGAATGTCTTGTGCTGTCATTATACACTGATTATTCCCATACAGCCCGTCTTCTTTCTTAAACTGTTTAATTTTGTCTCTGTTGGAAACGGTAATGAAGTTGCAGTCATTTAAAGAGGACTTGTAAAATGGGCTTGCTAGCAGGCCCATGGTAGATAAAGGGTTAAACATCATTTTTGAAACAGTTCGTTGTCCAGACGTCTCACTTTAATAGGACTGACTGATTAGGAATGGGAATTCGAGTAACTTACAAGAGCATCCTGGAGAATTGCACACAACATATCACAATTCAATGCCTCAGTGGGGAAGAAAGGAAAAAATAAGAGCCACAAAGTAGTGATTCTCATGGGTAAAGCATGTTTCATTTAAAATACAACATCTGGCGCTGGTGTATTGGTGTACCGATTTGTTTTCTGATTTTTAAAGCATTGCAAAACTTTTAATTGGCGTGTGCATCCGTGTATACTTTTATTATCAATAGATTCATGGGGGAAAATAGCTGAGCATTTCAGATTTCTACTGTGTCTTAGCGGCAAACCTCATGACCCATGGACTGCTTTTTGTCTAGTTCACAGCTTGTTTGCCTCATTGCAATGTATTTTGATTTGTACTGGCTCGGATTCAATTTTCGGTTTTGTTAATGCCTTCAGAGTGAAAAAAAAAACAAGTGTCAACAATTCTCACAATGTCAGGAAGCCCTTTTTTAAAATTTCTAAAGCATACAAGGCTAAAGCAGCTGTATTCAAATTTCTGGCACGTTGTTGCTGGGTAGACGCCCTCAAATGGGAAATAATAAGCTTTCTAATTTTTCCAAGTTGCACTTAACTTCCCAATGAGCTCCATTTATTTTGCACTGTTATTTATTAGTGCTCTGAACTGGATATCCTGAAGGTCATGATACAAAATCACAAATTCAGATTTATTTAAACACACTGTATGTTGGACATAGAGTTTGTATACCATGTAATTATTTATTTGAAGAGTACAAGGAAGAACCTGGGAAACGAATAAGTAAAATGGGGTTGAGTGTTGTAGGACAGTGAGGCCATGTTTGGGTCTAGCAGAGCAAGATTCATGTTACTAACGGGCCTCAGCTTCTGACTGCTCTGATGGCTCAGTTTCAGATTCAGTTTTTTCTACTAGTGGATACATATTGCATCACAGAGTGGTGCAGCTTGTTTCAAACAGGGCTTCTCAAAGCCCAGTATGAGATAAATGATGATTATTTTGATGGGGTTCAATGGGGTTTATGGGTCCAGTGTCCCAAGGACTGAGGTCTCTTGTAGTTCTCTTTATGTCTGACAGTCTCTTCTTTCTTCCCTCCCTCTTTTGCCGACTGTTTCAGAGCACCAGCAGGAAGTCTTCATCTGTGTTCAGCCATTCAACCAGTCCTATCAAGAGCCCTGCGACAAGTGTTGAGGAGGAGGTAAGGACCTCACATTCACCCAGTCACAAAAGCCTCCTTACTGGGTACAAAATGCTCTATAAAGCAGAAGTCTCTGTACTGCCTAAGCATTAGCTCATCACCAGGGATGGGTTTTTCACGATTCCGATTCCATTTACGATTCTGTTTAACGATTCGATTCTTTATCGATTCTTTTTTTAAAAAGGAGAACACTAAGGTCGATTAGCTTAGAGCTTTGTTTTATATCTTCTCTTTGAACAAGATAGAAATTTAGAGGTAACATGGCCTTACAAACCCAACTGTGAGATCTTAAGAGATCCACAGCCTACGGCTCTTCAATGGGTGTCACAGGGTCCCCAGGAAAAAAACTGTAAATGTAAAATAATAAAATAAATATTCTTCTGTAGCAATAACAAAGTATAACATAAATTATTCTGTAGCAATTACACAAGAATATCCAGTAATGCCCCTGCCTACAATTAAACACATTCACTTACCGAAAATCGAGGGCATCTGCTGTGGCAGCCTTTGACCACAAACTGAGTCACTGCTCGGTGACATTCGTCTATCCCGGCCTGAAAGGAGACGCTACCGGTAGACTGCAGCGAGAACTGCCAGCATCTGAGCCAGACTCTGTCTCATCATGGTCACCTAAATGCACAGTAATGGCAGGTTTTGTAATAAGGCAGATCGCGCTAACATAATATGCACTGTTAGTTGATTATTTACCTGCCGCATTAACGGGAGAGGACGTGCAAACGTTACCGCTGCTGCTGGGTTGGATTTCACGAGTCTGGAGTGAATTAAAAACACGACATTCATTTAAGGTGAGCATTTGTGAGCAAATGCGTTTGCATATTTGTAGTGTTTCCTCCCTTAAATGAAATATCTACTTTGCAAGTATTGCAAGTTGCCCTGTTGTCATCCGTTCTCGTACAGTATAACCAAACTTTTGAGCCGCTTAGGCGACATGTTTCCTGCCAGGTAAATGACGCTCCGCAACGTGGTGACGTCATTCGGGGCGACTGGAATCGATAAGGGAATCGTTTGCAAAAATGGCAAACAATTCCAAGGAATTGAAACAGTGGGAACCAGTTCTCAACAAGAACCAGTTTTCGATACCCATCCCTACTCATCACTGATTTTAAAGCTACAAGAGCACAAGCTTCAAATCTATTTAAAGTATATTTAGTTTGTTTCATGGTGTTAAGATGAACGAAAAGTGCAAATAATGATAAGAATAATATTTGAAAAAAGTCAGCAGCAATAGGAATACAGGTCGAAACTCCACCAACAGACATTTCATGTCAGTGATGAACACATCATTAGGCAAATGAGACTGTAGCTTGTTATAACAAGTCAGAGGTGGGTCCATTATATGACAGTGTCATTTCAAGATTAAAAAGAAAAACTTAGAGAGAAGAGGTTTTGCACCACACCACAGTCTAGTTCAACAGGTTCACGCCGCAAGCATTCAAGAGCAAGGAAACCCCCAAACTGTTTGACATGTAAACACAAAGGATGGACTGCATTACAGTTATATACAAATTAAATCAACAGTAATTCAACATAAATGTGAAGTTGTGAGGCAGAGAGTGACTGGACAGTTAAAACGTTTAAATCTATCTTTTGTTTCTGCCGCATTTCAGCGAATATTTAAACATGTACATTAGTTGTGTGGTTAGAAACATGCTGCACATTGATGTCTAATCACCGAAAGACTGTTTGCTTGTACCTGAGCATCAGCACTGATGCAACAAAAAAAGAAATCAATCAAAATTTAAACCCAAAAGACAAGACTTCAACTTGTTATGAATTTGATAATCTGAACACAGAAAAATCTGATCATAGTCCAATATTTTTGATACAACAATTGTTGATTTCTGTCTGTAGTTACAGACACTTTGAAGTCAAAGCTGTTTCTTCAACATGAAAATTGAAAAAGACGGAAAAATGCAGAAGGGGTGTGGAGTTCATCTGTCAGTTAGGCAGGGACACACCCATCAGTCTCAACATGGGAACACTAGTTCATCAAAGTACAGTAGCATAGCAAGTGTTTTCTGTTTTTTATCTGGTTTTGTTTTAAAATGAATCCAGCCAGGGGCAACTCATTGCACATGCATGCCTTCTGTGCAGGCAGCAACGCCCTGCTTTACAGTCACACTGTTACCACAGCACTTAGTTCGTAATCACAGGACCAGAAACGGTCACAACATTGACAAACCATGCTGGGTGGGTGTGAAAATTGAGGTGTGTCTGGCCACTTCCCAGAGGCCTTTGCTGTAGGTGGATGCATTCTTTTGATTTGAACCTGCAGTGTCATGTATATGGCTGTTGTTACAGGAGGGAGGATCTTTGATTTATCGAGCTGGTGTGGCATTTTTTCTTGGCACAGCCGAAGAAAATCCTGTGTATCTAAACACACTGTTAAGTCTGTTAAGTCCACTAACAAATTAATCAGCCAGTCCACAGTTATGTAATACTTTATCACTGACATATTTCCACTTTTATGACCTTTGACTTGTTTATTGTGAAGGTAAAGCTGCTTTTGACCACTTGATAAAAAAGAAATGGCTTGTGTAAATGAAACCCTAGTTAACTATTCCAATGCTGTAAAACTTTGCAATTCAACAAATATTGTACCAGCCTGATTATAGGTAGCTACATTGCCTTATAAGCTTGCAGCATTGTCATTTGCATGTTTTGATAGTCTGATGAAAATATCACAAGCCACTTTTTATCAGCATCGGTGAAGCCCGTCTGGTCAAACTCATTCACTTCCTGTGTTCTTTCTTTGCTTTTATGACTTTTTCATCTTTTTCTATGTCTTCTTTGGCATTTTTGTCTTTTTCTTCATTTCTTTTCACTTAATCTTAGAATAAAACGGTTTGATATGAAAAGGTAAAACCTCGTAATCACAGTCTTTGCTCGTACATCAACCATCTGCAGAGTGTCCTGGAGTTACCCCTGCCTCTAATCTGCTTTCGCTCCAACTTGCTCGCAGCGTTCTTTCCCGTCAGCTCGTCAGTGACAACTTATTACTAATCAGCTTTTCTTGACCTGCTTGAAGAATTCTTTCTTGATGATTTCATTTTTAGTGAGGATAAAGTGACATGAAGCAAATTGTGGTTGACCTGACTTTTTTTTTCTCAGAAAAAGAAATGTCTGTCAGTCTGCTCCTGACTTTAATGATGGTTTTCATTTTTAACATTTTTTGAAGTCATTTGAAGCCACTTTGAGCACAAACGCCACTCTTACTGTGTGACACATTCTTGGAAATTTGACTAAAACATTTCTCAACACACAGCATGTTTGTAATGAACACGGACCCACCGGTGAGGCCGGAAGGATTGGAGGGCTAAAATTGTCCATCTCCGTGGGAGGGGAACAAGTTCAGAAAACAAAACCCAAAACATGATGGATTCTTGTAGTGTGCAGAGACGGCTGGAGTGCTGTTGAATGTCATGAAGGCCTTTTGACCTTTGTTATCTGAGAACTGAAAGAAATTCCCTGAGCACTTGAGAGCAGTGGGGATTGGTTATTAGATGCAAATGCAGATGCTAATTGGCAGACTGATCATTTACCTCTCACCTTTTTCCATATTCATCATCAGCCATAGCGCAATGAGGCTGCACAGTGTGGATAAGAGGTAGAATCTGAAGCGTAAAGGGAAATTCACCCATGAGCTGCAACCTCCAAGCCTGAAAAGTGAAGCCAATGCATACCTGCTAGAAACTGCAGTTCTGCAGGCTGACTCCAAAGGCACATCAATCTTGTTAAAATGCCCATCTATACAATAGAAATATGCACACTTAAAGCACGATACAAAGAGCTGTTAAGGGCTTTTACTTTAGGGTAAGGTAACATATATACATTTAAATACTATGATCTAACAGATGTGAGGTAACTGCCTCACATCTGTGTAGGTTCTACATCATCCAGGTAATCGTTGAGCGCTTGAAATGAAGAGAACTGGACTTGTGTGTTTCACCTCTCATCCAAAAGGCTTCTTCAGTTCTAAATGATCTGATAGAGAGTCCCAGCTACTCTTTTTGGAGGCTGTTCACATTTTTGTTTTGGTTTGAATGAAGTCATGTTTCATAGGCTGTACAGTGTGTGACAGCAGCAGATAAAATGTTTCCAAAAGCAACACGACGCGACTGATTAACAAAGAGTATCAGTTAACCCTGAATGGAAGGTGTGGCATAACTGAATCTTCTCAAGATCAAACTCTGTTTTGTAGATCTGACTTGTATCAGGCGCCTACAGAGAAGAAAATGAATATAGCGCTTCCTTTGCACTGACCAGGTAACCATTACCGCTGTGACCTACATCATGTTTGTCACCAGCCAAGTCTCGGCTTAAATTCTAGCGATAAACACGGGAAGATCAAAGGAGAAAAAAGTTGCCGGACCAGTTTTGAAAATGTTACCCACAGTGAAAAAAAACATTTAACCTATTCTCTCTCTCACACACACACACACACACACACACACACAACATAAACAGACTTCCACAGGCACGCAAGGGACGCTTCTCTAAAATGCATCACTACCTAAAATGCTGCTGTCACAGAGCCAATCAGCGTGCAGTGACCGTAGGACACTCTACACCGCTCCACTGCTTTGCATGCAAATGCAAGTTTACAGTTGCAGGTCTGTACAGGCTGAAGTTAAAATTCTATATATTAGCATATTTATGACCTGGGAGCAGGTTTGACTGTGACATCTGGTGCAATGAAACGCAAATTTCATATGGTAGCAGATTCATGTGTTACATGAAGGCCCCAGCTTTTGCAAGGTATAGTAAAAAGCATGTCTGCACATGTGTTTCTTGCTTTATGTGAAGCGAAATCTTGTTGCTTGAGGATAGGATTCATTTTTATTAAACAGGAGGGCTTTTGTCTGTGTGGCAGTAGTTTTGGCCTGTTCATTCACCCTGCCAGGTTCATGTTTTCCCACTTTTGTGCGAAAGCACTTGGATTACCTGCACGGAGCAAGTTTTAGAGCATAACACGGTTC